GCCTTAATGAAGAATATGGTTAAAACATAATATTTAATCAGTATAAGTAAACCCTACTTATTATAAAACCCCTGATTAAAAAAAACAATCAAATACTATATGTAAAGCTGGAGGTGAAATGAATAATCTAGAGTTGTATTCTAGAGGTAAAATATGTATAAATGAACTAAAAAGACTGCAACAAAGCATGCTGAATGATCTAAGCCAGGCGTAGGCAACCTTCAGTACTCCAAATGTTGTGGACTGCATCTGCCATGATGCTTTGCCAGTATTGTAGCTAGCAAACCTATGTTTAGTGAGTGAGTGTGCTGGATCTTGTATGTTGTTTTCAATTGGTGGCCCCAGCAGCACCCTTATAATGTATGCATTGTAAGTGTGGCCCTCTGATTTCTTATGGAAGATAAACAGCAGTGGAAACACCTGAAAATAAGAGGTTTGTCTGGTGACATAATCATGGCCAAACTGACACATTTACTACTATGTCGACATTTTGCAGAATTATTTCCTTGAAAACAAGCAAATGGAATGTTTCCCATAACGTGCCACCTGGATGGTACGTTATACTTACTGAAACCTCAAAATCCTTCAAACTGAGCAACAAGCGACCTCCTCATGAAATTCAAGACTCCCTATAAGTTTGAATGGATAGACCTAACTTTTGTTCAGATTTATCTGGAGGAGATTCCTTGGCTCTCTTACGCTATCTTAGTTTCTTCCCATTGCCTGCGATACGGTTGGGTGTTCCACAATCATGGATCATCAAACACCATGGGAGAGCTACTGCCCTTGGGAAGCTAGATCTTGGACCCATTGAGACATTCTTAACTGTTCAGCAAACGTGTAGTCTTTATATCAGTGACTAGTGGTTTCTGGAAGAGTAGATAGTTCCTCTACTGGCTGGTGACCCTAGAGTATAAATGAGGCTTCATGGATTCAATTTTCATACTGCAAAATACAAAAAAATAAAATACCCTTATACACGATTCTGGTAGTGAAGTGGTTAACTTGACCAAGTGGCCTTATTGTAATGTTATTCTTTTTTCTCATAATAAAACAAAAAAACACATATATTCTGACATGTTTACGCTCTTCGATTGCGTGCTATATGTATGTAGAATTGTTACTTCTCTATTTTGTGACTATTATAAGTATACTGTCATGCATGTGTCAAAACATGTCAAAAATAAAGAATTTGTTTAAAACTAAATATCTTTTGCTGAACAATTCCTGGGTCTGTTACTGGAATTTACAGCCATTGAGCAAATACATAAATCAATAAATAAGTCAAATTAAATGGCAGGTCCTATTTACCCACTGACTTTAAATCATAGCAAATAGGAATCCAAAGAGCAACATTTCGGCTAATATAGCTGTTTCGGATAAATTCTTCAACTCTATAGACTATAGTCACAACTTAATTATTTTAGCCTCAATTCTGCCGTTCAGATTCCAGTTTGTTAGAAATCAGAGCTTTGCAAGTAATCCTATTCTGTGAGAGCGTGCACTGGGCAACAATGATGTTAAAGAGCCTCATTCTTTTACACACATGGACATTACAAAGAGAACTTCCCTTCCACCAGCAACAGTCTGTACCCTAGTGTTTTCTAAACATTGCTCCAATAGAAGCCATTTCTGAACATATGTGATTAGTATTTAAGTTCCTCGGTATGTTCAAGAGATAGTCAGACAGACAGACAGATTAAAGGATCACTATAGGGTCAGGAACACAAACATGTATTCCTGATCCTATAGTGTTAAAACCACCATATAGCCCCCCTGGGCCCCTCATGCCTCCATAAATATAGTAAAAATATTACTGTATTGAAGCCCAAAGCTGTAACTCTGCATGCTGTCTGCCTCAGAAAAACAAGCAGTCTGCTGACATCATTAGAAGTGGTGTCCTGATCCAATCACAGTGCTTCCCCATAGGATTGGCTGAGACTGACAAAGAGGTAGATCAGGGGCAGAGCCAACACAATTCAAACAGCCCTGGCCAATCAGCATCTCCTCATAGAGATGAATTGAATCAATGAATCTCTATGAGGAAAGTTCAGTGTCTGCATGCAGAGGGAGGGGATACTGAATGTTGGGATGCATTTAAGGCAGCCATGACCCAGGAAGGATCTCTAACAGCCATCTGAGGAGTGGCCATTGAAGTTATCACTAGGCTGTAATGTAAACACTGCATTTTCTCTGAAAAGACCGTGTTTACAGCAAAAGGCCTAAAGGTAATGATTCTTCTCACCAGAACAAATCCAATAAGCTGTAGTTGTTCTGGTGACTATAAATACACTTTAAATACACTATTTTATTCCACTTTTCAGGTTCAGTTTGTCTTCTTGATTAAAAGTTTTAAAAAAAAAAAGCTTGATACATAGATACCTAAGAATGCAAGACTAACCATCGTCCTCTGATCTCTTGATTAAAACTTGGCTTTGCATTATAAAAATATATCTCCTTTTTTTTTCAAACTTTTAATTACTAACATGAAATGTTCTTTTTTTTTTTCATTTTAGATGATAATTGCTATTATTAGGCCCTTGATGGCTGTTACAATGAATCAACGGTTTTACATTGTATCTTACTTTATATTCTATGTGAACAGTGAAAGGAAAAAGTAATTATAGTGTATATAAAAAATGTCAGTTTCCAGATGTGTTTTCCTCTCTTCATAGGAGGGCTCTTTAGATCATTCCTGTGACTGCATATTCCACGACTGCTGAATAATTGCTTTAAATGTGTGCATTACACACTCTTATCTTCTCCCCCTCTTGGTCCCTCCCTCGCCACACATGGAATAAGGAAGATGCTAATATTGACTTCTCCCTAGGTTTTAAGAGGGTCTTATGGACCTCAAGTAGATATATACATACATTTATTTGATTATGTGTGGCTCCGGCCTCCTCAAGTCGTCACACCATTCCCCACCCACCCAGGCTCTTCTGCAGACATTTCTGATGCTGTGGCTCTGTCCCTTTTTAGACGCAACGTCAGAGCACCAACGTTATCGAAACAAAATGTCTTCATTGCCAACACCAACTTACCTTTTAGGGCTGTGGCTATCGAATAAACGTCCCAAACCTATAATTACTCTGGTTTGCATTGGCTCAGTGTCCTGTTGTGGTTTCCTTGTGATACCGATAGCATGTTGCTGATTTTCTGTGTTTTCCCACTTATCCATATGGCCTGACTACTCTGGCCTCTGTACTTCTTGAACCAGCTTGACTTTTCAATACTGCGTTTTCTGTAATCCCTGACCATGGCTTGCTCTCCTTGACTTCGGTGTTAAGCCTGGCCACTCTAAGGTTTGGTAATACGCTACTATCCTTTGTTTTACTCCTGATAAGCATAGCATGTAGGGTTTGCATACTTACATTGAAGCCTACGAGCTGATACTTAAAACATTAGCTTAGGGCCAACAGTATCTCAATTAGAGTAGGCCTAATTAACATGGATAGAACTGGCCAGGCTTCATTTCTGGACTCAGAAAGCTCTTACGTTGTATCTGCATGTATAAGTACATTGACATACAGGAGCCTACAGCATTAGTATGGACACATAGAGGCATGTCTGAAAAGATCAATTAAATATCAAGAACCATCATTTTGGCCCAAAATCACAGGCAAAATATGCTCTGATACCTTTTATGAAACATAAAATGTTAATCAACTTAAAAAAATTATATAGCAGAAAATACAACTAATATATTTATAGGGAATTAAATTCCTACAATTCGTAAAGAGTCCAAAATGGATTTAACATTTTCTTTCTCTGTGGTTTTTGTTTTTTTCTATGAGCTAACAAAACATATCATACAATAATACATATTTAAAGGGATTCTATAGCATAAGGAATACAAAGTTGTATTCCTTACACAAAGTTGTATTCCTTATACTATAGTTCCCTCTAGCCATCTGACTGAGGGGGGTCTAATGTGCATGTGCTAAAGGCACATTAGGCCCTCCCCATAGGAAAGCATTGCTTCAGTGCTTTCCTATGGGGATTTCCTTGATGCTGGGTGTCAACATGCAGAGTGTGAGGATGTCTAGCGTCAGTTAGGTGACAAAAGTCAGCTAGCCACCTGGAAGTGCCTCTAGTATCTGTCTGATTGGCAGCCACTAGAGGCTGTCTTAATCCTGCAATGTAATTAATGCAGTTTCTTTTTTTTTTTTTTTTTTTATAAATTCTTTATTTATAACATATATGAGGTTACAGAACAAAGAGAGGGTGTAGAGGGGGTACTGTCATACACAACAAAAACCACAGAGATTTACAATTCGTACATTTGTATATCAATGAACAGAAAGTTTATGGGATCTCGTGGGATGTGCATTCTCGTACCTTCACGTGTATGAGAGGTGTTCCTCTTGTTCTGAGCGTGTGTGACTGTGTGTGCATTTGTCTTGTTTGTCTGGGGAGAGAAGAGGAGGGATGGGGGGGTGCGGTGACGATGGTGGGGTGTGCGCAGGCAGGAGGGGTACGGGGCTAGTGGGGTGGGAAGTGGTCGGTTGGCGTGTGTTTATGCCCACGCTCGTGGTCTCCGTGGGTCATCTTGCTGCTCCACGGGCAGTCCTTTCCCTGTTTTGCGTCCCGTGTGGAGAGTCAGGACCAGGAATGGGGCTCTCGAGAGATGCCTTGTGCTGTTGGCGTTTGACTAGTCATTGCGTTGTGGGTGCTATTGGCTGTAACGGGGGTGTGTTGCCCTATGGTCTCTCTGGAGCACCCGAGCGTGTTTGATGGTGTGTGGGCGGAATGAGGAGGGGGGGAGGTGGTCTCGGGGGGGGGGGATGTAAGTCCCGCCGTGTTAATCTGTGCTGGGCAGACGGTGGTGACTGTGGTGTGCCTCCGTTTCTTAGGATGGAGAAAGGGGCCTTGTGGGGGCAGATGCCCTCTCTACCCACGCCTGCAGGGCCCCGATGGGGTGCGGAGGGGGGGGTCGGGGTAGGAAGGGAGAGAGAGGGAGGGAAAGGAGAGAAAAAGAAGAAGGGGAGTGGGGGTGCGTTCTGGCGTCCGTCCCATGTTGAGCAGATCCCATTCAGGGTTCCAGTAGCATTGCGCCTATGTGGTAAGCCTTCTATGCGAGGTGTCATTGAGGGAGCGCTATCCTCAGTCCGGGGTGTCTGTTCTTAGGCTGGTCTCAAGCAGTTTTGTGTGGTTCACATCCCAGGGATCCCATATACGATGGAATGATTTGTACGTATCATTAATCTGTGCTGTCAACTCGTCTAGGTCTCGGGTCTCTTTAATTTTACTGATGATCGTAGAGATGTGGGGTGTTCTCTGGTCAGCCCATAGTTCTGCTATTGCCCTTCGGGCTGCTAGATTGATTCGGGCGGTTAGTTTGTTTTCACTCCTCGTGAGGGAGTCTAATGGTTTGCTGAGTAGCATAGTCCACGGTTGTACGACCACTGGCTTCTCTATGATCGTTTCTATGAGGGTGCTAACCTCTTCCCATAGTGGCTTAATTTTGGGGCATGTCCACCAGCAGTGCAGGTAGCGGCCTGCTTCGCCGCATAGGTTCCAGCACCCGTCGTCTGGTTTCTGGCCCATCTTGTGGAGTCTGTGTGGAGTCAGGTACCAGCGGAGCATTGTTTTGTATGCCTGTTCTTTGTGCGTGACGCATACGGTAAGGGAATTTAGTGTTTCCCATATGGCGGCCCAATCGGTCGGGTCCTCCGGTGCTCCCAGATCTCTTTCCCACGCGGCAATATAGGTCAGATTGACCTGGGAGATGTGGGTAGTCAATGTTGTGTAGTTGGCGGAGATTTGGCCTGGTTGCAGGGGGGCCGCTAGGCATTGTTTTTCGTATGCTGTCAGCGGTGAGGTACCTGCTTGTTTAATTAGTGGTTGTTGCGCTAGGTCTCGGAGTTGTATATAGCGAAAATGATCAGCGGTGGTCAGAGCCCCCGCGTTTGGGAGTTCGTTGTATTTAAAGATTTCACCTTGCTGGTACAAGTGGCCGAGTCGTGAGATATCTCGGTGGTCAAACGCTAGAAAATGCCTTGCTGTCATTCCGGGAGGGAAGAGTTTGTTGCGATAGATCGGGGTCATTGGGGAGAGAAAGGAGGACAGGTCGTATTTAGTATTAAGTTTATCCCAGAGTGCGATGGTATGTGTGATTGCCGGAGAGGTGGGTGGGGGGAGTGGACGGTGTATCCGTGGTACCCAGATGTATGAGGAGGGCTGATCCCAGCCCAGAATATCATGTTCCAGGTCTACCCAGCGTTTGCTGCCATTGCATGCCATTGTTGGATGTGGGCCAATTGGGCCGCGTGGTAGTAATGTTTGAAGTTGGGCAGTCCCAGCCCTCCTCTTAGTCTAGGGACGTACATTGTTGTTCTACGGATCCTGGGTTTCTTGGCTTTCCATATGAATTTGTCTATGGCCGTCTGGAGACGCTTGAAATCCGAGTTCAGTAGCGGGATGGGTAGTGTCTGGAAAAGGTAGAGAAATCTCGGCAGGAGGTTCATTTTGATTGTGGTGATTCGCCCCATCCAAGAGATTCCCAGTTTGTCCCAGCGTTGGAGGTCTGCGTATGCTGTTTTGAGGAGTGGCGTGTAGTTGATTCCGTATGTGTCTCCAAGGTCCGAGGATAGCTTGGTGCCTAGGTAGGTAATGAAGGACTTGGTGACGCGGAACGGGAAGGAGTGGTGGAGCAGTTGCAACTGTGGATCTGATAGAGCTATGGGCATTAAAGTAGATTTGGTTAAATTAATTTTGTATCCTGAGAGGGTAGAGTATTCGCTTATGAGGTGCAGTGTTGCATGTAAAGAGGATATGGGATCCGTTAGAGTGAGAAGAACATCATCAGCGTACGCTGCCGCTGTGTACGCTTCCTGTCTTATCTGCACTCCCCGAATGATGGGGTGGAGGCGGATGGCTTGGAGCAAGGGTTCCAGTGCAATTGCGAAGAGGAGGGGGGAAAGGGGACAGCCCTGTCTGGTCCCGTTGGCGATGGTGAAGGTTTGGGCATTGACGTGTGGGAGTAGAAGCGTTCCCGTGGGGCGATTGTAGACCGCCCGCAGGATGTTCAAGAAGCCTGGCGGAAATTGTAGATGTGCGAGTACTCCATACATGAATGGCCAGAGAAGGCGATCGAACGCCTTCTCCGCATCCAACGAGAGCACCACTGACGGGATGTTGCGATGTTTGGTGTACCAAATCGTATCGAAGGCTCTTCTGGTGTTATCCGCCGCCTGCCGCGTGGGGATAAATCCGACCTGATCTGGGTGAATCAGTGTGGGAAGGTACGGATTAAGGCGATTGGCCAGTACTTTCGTGAGTATTTTCAAGTCGGTGTTTAATAGGGAAATTGGGCGATAGTGTCCTGGGTCTAGGTGTTCTTTCCCGGGTTTGGGTAGAAGGCAGATGTCAGCCGCCAGCATGTCCGGGGGGAGTGGGTGGCCTTCCAGCACTGCGTTGAAGACTTTGCATAATTGTGGTATAAGGATCGTTTGGAATGTCTTATAGTAGATGGCTGTAAAGCCGTCTGGTCCTGGGCTTTTCCTGGGTTTCAGCGTCTTGAGGACCGAGGCGATCTCTTCCACCTCCACGGGTGCTTCTAATCTGTTTTGCTCCTGTGTAGAGAGGGTGGGAAGGTTGAGGGGTTTCAGGAAGGAAGATATGGCGTCCGTGTGCGCCGCTTCTCCTGTTGATGTCGTGGTGTTGTGGTTGTATAGGTCGGAATAATATTTTAGGAATTCGCGGGCTATGATTTCGGGGTCCGTTGATAGCTCTCCGTTTTGGGTCTTGATTTTGGAGATCTTTTTTTGGTCCTGCTTTTTCCGGAGGCAACGTGCTAGCAGTGAGTCGGCCTTATTGCCCTTCTCATAAAAGCGCTGTTTGGACCACATTAGGTTCCGTGCGACGTCCGCCGCCGAGAGTTGGCTGATCTGATCCCTCGTAGATTTGAGTTGCGAGAGTAGGTGTTCGGAGGGGTTCTGTTTGTGTAGGAATTCAAGCTTGTCGAGGGTGGTCAAGGTGTCTGTGAGTTTCAGGAGGCGTTGTCTTTTGAGGGCCGTGGCTAGTGATATGAGGGTACCTCTAATGGTAGCTTTGTGGGCTGCCCACACCATGGGTGGGGTTGTGTCTTCGGTGTCGTTGAGATCGAAATAGGTTTTGAGGTGTTCCTCCATAGTGTGGATCGTGGCTTTGTCTTTTAGGATCCAGGGGTTCAGCCTCCATTTCCATGGGCGTGCTCTGAGTGGGATGCGTACTGTAAGCGAGATTTCCGCGTGGTCAGACCATACTATGTTACCGATGTGGGAGTGGATGGACCAAGGCTGTACCGCTGGCGAGACCAAGAAGCCGTCAATACGGGAGTAAGATTTGTGGGTATGGGAGTAAAAGGTGAAGTCGCGAGACGACGGGTGCTGGCTCCTCCAGACATCCAGTAAGGAGGTCACAGATAGAAAGTCGGCGTACAATTGGTCATTCCTAGTCGGGGCTGGTACGGTGCCTGTGTGTGTGCGGCGGTCCAGAGTGGGGGTGTAAGTTGCGTTAAGATCTCCTCCTATGATTAGATGTTTGGCTGATAGGCCGGCTAGATGGGTTTGGAATGTGTGCCAGAATGTGGTGTCTGGAACGGATGGGGCATATAAAGAACATATCATGAGGGGGAGGTTCCCCGCGTAGCCTGTGAGGAAGATAAAACGGCCTGAGGAATCCTTGTGGGTTTGTATGTCCGTAAGTGGGCATGTGTTGCGTAGCAAGATGGCTACTCCCTTCTTTTTGGGTTCCTGTGAGTTGGCTAGGTAGCTGCGTTTGAAGTGTCTGTTAACTAGTGGGAACTGCTTCTGATCTGTGAAATGGGTTTCTTGGAGCAGTATGATATCCGCCCCTGTGCGGTTAGCCCAGCGGAGTATCCCATGTCTTTTCCCTGGCGAGTTGAGTCCTTTGACATCAAGAGAGGTGATACTAATATGGGTATTCCGGTGCGCCATTCGTGGTGCTTAATGGTGCTTATAGGAGGCTGAAAGGTGGGGGATAGCTGTGTACCGTCGCCCGGTATCTGGGTTCGTGCTGCCTAGATGGGGCAGAAAGGGGAAAGGTAGGGGATGGGGAGAGGGATGGGGGGATAAGGTTAGGGGTGGTATGGGGCCCTGCCTGCGTGGGCCCGTCAAAGGGTCTCAGAGGGAGTTGGATGGTTGAAGACTGGTCTTATCAACCTGGCCAGTCGTAGAAGTGGCGGGGGTCTCGGTATGTTGTCCTGGGGCTCTTTTGGCAAGATCCAGGGTGGCCGAGGCCAGTGGGGGAGGTGTCTGCAGAAGTGACAGAGTACGTCCGCGACCTGCCTGCGAATTCGCAATTTGATCTGAGCCGGGGAGGGGGCGCGGGGGACGGAGGGGAGGGGGGGGAAGCGGGGTCCCGGTGGTCCCAATTGTGTGTGCGAGGTCCCTGTGTGGCATGGTGCGGTCTGGGCCAGGGGGCTTCTTTTGTCTCGGCCCGGCCTGTGCGGGGGGCGGCTCCCCGTAAGCTTGGGGTGGTGTTGTGGTTGATGTGTGCCCGAGGGGGCTCCCGCACGTCCGGGCCCGAGGGCCTGGTCCACGCAGCCCGTATGCCTCCACCTGTCCCGTTGGGAAGGAGGTGCCCTGCGGCCTCCATATCTGGGCCCGTCCGTGGGTCGCCCCCCAGGCGCAGGCATGTGTGTATTGTGCCCGCCCGTGTGGGGCCTAGTCTTTGGCCATCTCCCCCTGACCTATCGTGCGGGGTGGGGGCAGTGGGTCTCCAATAGGGATGATGTTGCCGCCTTCGGCCCGTTGGACCGCGAGTGGGGGATGGTGCTGGGGTGTAGCGTAAGCTATGGTGCCTGGTGTCGTGGCGTGTGGCGTATTGATGGACTGAGTGTCGTGTGTGTCCGCCCGCCACCCACAGCCCTAGTGAAGTGCATCCCGCCCGCAGCCACCCACTTTCCCAATAAAACATTTTAACAGTATAGCGTAACCTTGCTTGCATGCAATATAAAATCATACCAAACATGTCAACTTTGTCGGAGGAGAGGAAGCAGCGGTCTTGACAAGCGTCTCATGCCTCCCCAGTCATGAGCCCTTGTTTGCAGACCCCCCACCCCGTGTCGCCGTCGGTGTCCTTTTTGCGTCTGGGGAGGATTGAAGTCCAGTCCTTCCATGTCTCGTCTGTCAATAGGATGGGAGGGGAGAGGGGCGTGCGGGGCGCACAGTGGGGGCCAGTCGTGCGTAGTTGTCCTGCGGTTCTGAGTTAAGTCAGGGAGGTGCACACGGGGTGAGTCCTGTGTTAGCCAACTCCGGTCTCCCGGGGTGGGGGGGGCAGGCACAGTCTGGGTGTCCACTGTGGATGGGGCCTGGGGGGGTATGGGTCCTACACTGTCGGGGTGCTCCGTAGAAGGGCGTTCTCATTGGTTTCTGTCCTGGAGGGGCCGTGGGTACATTCAATCAAGCGATGTCCCCATTTCTTTTGGTGTTGTGGCACCCTCCTGTTGGGCCGGAGGGGGGGGGGCGCCGGGTGCGGCGCTCTGGGGCCGCTGCCGGTGACCGACATTGGGGCTGGCCGTGGCCGTCCAAGTCGGGGAAGGGGCCAGCGGGGGCAGTCCGGGCAGTCAGCTCGTCTGTGCTGTAGAGGGTCCTGGACCCCTTGTCTTGTTACCCTCCCGCCCCCGCCCCCGCCCCCCCCACCCCCCCAACAACAACGGCCCCCCCACCCCAGCCTCCCCCCTCCCTCGGTCCGGGGGGCAGCAGCTCCAGTGTACAGAGACCCACACTCCAGGTGGGGGAGTCTGCGCCCCCCGAAGGCCCCGTACCAGATGCCGGCTCCGGCCAGGATATAGTCCCAGTCCTCCCAGGATCGTCCCTCTATAGTTTGCGCTGGCGGAGGGTGTGTGGCTGTCCGTGATCCGGGAGTCTCCGTGCTCACGGTCCATATCGTGGGTGATCGTTGATGTGGTCTCTGGTGAGGGCTAGAAGGTCGTGGGCAGGCCTTGGTATGAAAGGAGGGGAGGTCGGACGCCCGGGGCGAGGGGGGAACTTGCTGCAAATATTCCGGTACATTGGTCCCGGGTCCGACCACGTCCGTGGGGGGGGGGCCTGCGCTTGAGCCCTCAGACTCTGTGGGGACTCGGCTCTCCGGCCCACTGGGGTGTCTGGAGTGTGGAGGTTGGGTCCCATGACCAGTCTCGTTCCATGGGGGCGTGTGGGCTCCGTCCCAGGGGGCCAAGGCCCGGGGCCAGGAAAAAAAAAAAAAAATTTTGTTTGAAGATTAAAAAATAAAGTTCTAGTCCCCTAGGGGGTCCCAACAGGGGTTTCGTCTGAGGGCATGGGCGTAGGGGGCCGCAGACCGCTGCTCCGTTCGTGCTTCCTCTCAGTGCGGTGAGTTTTCCGGCTGGTTGAGAGCCGCATTCCGGTGCATGCGTTCACCGGGTCTGGTGGGCAGGTTGCTGGCCAGCGATCGTTGGTGAGCCTGGTCGGCCCTTGGGTGCGCTGTGTCGGGTAGTTGCGGTAGGTCCAGCTGGTCCAGGAGCGTGGGGATTTCCTCCGGTTTCGTGATGGAGTGGAACCTGCCATCTTTGCGGATGATGATCCTGAAGGGGTGACCCCAGGCATACCGGAGGCCATGTCGGGTAAGGTGCTGTGTGAGTGGACGCAGGTCTCTCCTGCGTTTCAGGGTGGTCGGCGCCAGATCCTGGAACAGCTGGACCGGAACCCCCTCCACCACCACAGGGCTATCTCGGGCTGCTTTCATAATGCGTTCTTTAATGTGGTAAAAGTGTAGTTTGACGATGATATCCCTGGGGGTGGACATGTTGGTACTGGGAGCTCGCAATGCTCTGTGAGCCCGGTCCATAAGGAGGTCGGCAGCTGTAGCTTCTGGGAGAAGGGTTTGGAAGACCTCTGTGAGAGTGTCGGTGAGTAGGTCTGTGGAGACGGATTCCGGAATGCCCCTCACTCTAATGTTGTTCCGCCGTGTTCTGTTGTTCAGGTCTTCGTTTGCATCTTCAAGTGAGCGCAATTGGTCTCGGAGAGTTTGTATCTCGGTCCCCTGTGTTGATACCGTTTCTTCTGTGGCCGCCATTTTGTCTTCTGTGGCCTGTGTTCGAGCTGAGAGTTCCGACATGGTTGCCAGTATGGGGCATAGCCTTTTTTCAAGTTCTTCAGCCACGGACTGTTTAAAGTCGGCCAGGAAGCCCCTCATATCGTTCCTGGTGAGGGGGGCTTCAGTACGTTCCGAGTGAGCGTGGCTGCTCATTTCGGAGTCTGAGTCCGTCAGGGGGGCCTCCGAAGATGGCGCCCGGGTCTGCTCGGGCTTCTGCCTAAAGATCGGCGCCACTGCCGAGTTACGGGCTTTTTTCCCGCCGCCCATGGAGAGGATTAGTGCCGGCAGTAGCAGGGGTAAGAAGGGATGGGTGTAGGATGTGTGGGGGGCTCAGGTGCTGTGGATGGCTTCGGATTCAGGCTAGGCCTTTGCGGAGCTAAGGGGTTATGCTGCCATCCTCGTGCAGGGTTAGGCTCCGCCTCCCCAATGCAGTTTCTTAAAAACTGCAATGATTTACATTGCAGAACTAAGGGGGGCCAGGACACTGCACTCAGACCACTTCAAAGAGCTGAAGTAGTTTAGGTGCCTATAGTGTCCTTGTACTACAAGTACACATACAGCTTGATGAGAGCAATAGATTTAGTACTGACATCGCAACTCTGCTATATGAATGACATAAAGGACTACTATAGGAACCCAGAACATTCCATATCAAAGAAGTGGTCTGGGCACAGTGGTTCTTTAACCTTGCAATTTAAAACATCACCATTTAGTAGATACAGCAATGCTTACATTGCAGAGTTTCAGTACATCTCTGGTGGCCACAAATGCTCTTTTTATCCCCAATGTTCCTTTATGAGAATCATTGGATTGGATGAGAAGACTCTTAGTAATGTTGCGGAAGGTTGATCAAGCAGCAGCAGAGACTGGATCTCAGTGCTGGAAAAAAAAAGTGAGTAAAACCTTTTTTTCCAATTTTGAAGTTAGATCTGGAGGGGGTGAAGTTAAGGGCAGAGAACACCCATAGCGTTAGGAGTACAGGTTTATACTCTTAGCTCTTAGCGCAGATTATTTTAGTTCAACCCATCTGAATCCCCTGTCTTCTAAAGACCAACATCAATCCTCCATTACTGGTACAGAAAACATGTGTTGTAACATGTTTCTGTTATTAACTAACCTCAGAATAAATATTTTTCTAAAAATATTTATTCATCAAATCACATATATTGTTCTATGTATCAGAATTTTCTCATATGCATGGGGGTGTGGGAGGGGGTGCATGTAATTTTTCTGGGGAATGCCTTCAATTCAAACAACATCACACATGTGTGTTCATTTTCTGTGAATAATGATCTCTGAGAATTGGACTTTATGTAGTTCATAACAGCATTTAGTCATTTATGAAGTGCTATAATTATTTGTTTGCATTTTCTTGCATTTACAATTAATCATATTGTGCTTTGCTGGGAGGATTGATACAGTTAAACAGGCATTTATCTAGGTTATAACCTTCCTACAAATTTGTTCACAATGATGTAGAGTGTGTAGTCAGAGAAAATGTCTGTCAGTCTATCTGTCTGATTGTCATTATCCGTTTGTCATTGTAGAGCACCCACTATCAGCCTGTCCATCATATGCCTATTTTATTTATAAGAAGCATTGTGTGCCCACTTCAATAACAGCTTGTTGTGGGGAATAGCCAACTAGGTTGCAAAATGTAACCAAGAACTCAAAAAGAATAGGAAACGTTCTGAACTTGGTTCTTTGAGTGTATTGTCGACTGAAGAAAGAGCTAACTGTTGAGTGAATAATTCCCCAGCTCTTGCTGATAAGCGTAACAATTGTAATGCTTATGTAATGCTTATGCTATAACCCCACTTCCAATCCAACAGGAGGTTTTGAAATAATCTTCAGAAAACTAAAGTAGTAGGAATATCTGTATTTATTATACATGTACGGTGTCAGCAACTAAGTGTTTACAATTGTATGAAATGTATCGGTTATTTTTCCAATTGCCAATGCAATTACAAAGTGTTTAAATGGACTCTCTAAGCCAGCGTTTCAGCAAGAATACAAATGTGGTTCAGACGTAATTTTACATCACAAAATGTCCACTGCGATTTGATTGCTCAACAGAGGCCCGGTCGGGTGCAGCGGCCCCTTACGAGCACGACCAGGCCCCTGTTGTATCGGCCGGCTGGGAGAAAGTTAACAGGAGGGTGGCTCTGATGTATGTGCCAGTGTGTGTATGTGTCACTGTGTGTGTATGCCAGTGTGTGTGTGTGCCAGTGTGTGTGTATCTGTGTGTGTTTATGTGCCAGTGTGTATCAGTGTGTTTTCATGTGCCAATGTGCATATGTGTGTCAGTGTGTATCTGTGTGTCAAGGTCTGTGCATGTGTCACGGTGTTTATCTTTGTGTCTGCGTGTATATGTCAGTGTGTATATGAATGTGTGAGTATGTGTCAATGTTTTTATATGTGTGTGTGTGTGTGTTAATCTGTTTGTGTATGTATGTACGTGGCAGTATATGTGCATATATCCCAGCAATCAAACACCAACACAACATGCAAACACACTCCTGCAAACACAAACATTACATACAAAAAAAACCCTGGATTCAAATTTAAGGTTTATATACAAACACTCAAACACTAATACTACACACAAATGTATATCCGCATTTAAAAG